ATGAAATGACTTAAAAGCATTTTGTAGAATCAATTTCTGCCAAATGAATTCTGATTATTGTGCTTATTCTAACAGAAATGGAATGTATTGGGGTAAACATTTCATTCTTTTTTATATTGAGTTACTTGAGTATTAGATACATTCATGTGTTCACTAAAATGCAGTTTAATTAATTCAATTTAGGGCCAGTTTGGTAAGTGTTATTTGGATGAAATGACTTAGTTTTAGATGCATTCAACTTAGATGTGTCATTTATTTATTAAAAGTTGTGACTTTAGTTTTTGTTGGTGTGGGGTTGGGCTTTGGGAGCTCAGGGATTTTCTCGTCCCAAAAGCTTGAGTAGGAGGGGGTCTCATTCCCAGCATAAGTGCTCTTTAAAGATCTTGTTAAGGATAGAATAAGACCCCCACCCCCACCCCCACCCCACCCCCATTCTCCCTTTTTTCAAATAGTCCAATTTATTAGTATTGGACTGATATATGAGTGGAAGTGAGGTTCAAGGTTTGAAAATATTTTGCTTATTTGAGGTCTCCTCTGACTTATATTCAGTCCATCCAGATTGCTAATCGTAGGGATCCTTTTATTTTATTGACATTATATTTTGTATATATCCTCACTTCAGCTAGTAACATCAAGTTTGCAGTATAGTTTAAATATCACTTCTTTGATGGAAAATACGGAGTAATAGGTTTGAAAAAATTTCTCTCACACATTCTAGCTTAGCTGATTCAAATGAATTGGAGTTTGTGATATCTGATTGTAGAAATAGTGTATATAATTTAGTGGTGTAATAATAAGTGTAGAAATGATTATGATCTAAGCATCACTGCAAAGCTAAATGATTTAGCATTAAATAGGATGGGGAAAATGATCCCGTGCTTAACATCATTTGAATTCTTTTGAAGAGAAATTCGAGATATCTTTGCATACATCATATGAAGCTTGAGGGGCCAGATATTCGTTAGATGGGGGCTTTGAGACCTGGTGACCTAAACCACGATGTTGGTTCTTGGATGAATTTATAATTTCCCAAGTATTTTTAATCCTTAGCTAGGACCATTGGTGTAATGGTTGAGTTATTTCCTTTTGATTACATGCTTTTGCTCTTATCAGATTCAAATTCTCACTTCGTTTGTACCCATACTAATTTAAATTTTGTGACAAATACGCTCATTTGGTTGGTGTATGTTATGTTATTCTTAAATTTAGTGAATCACATATGTAGAATTTTATCGCTGTAGGACTTCAACCAAAAATGTTCTTACTGCTGAACTGAAAATTTGAAAGCTATCAACTGAAAACTAAACAAGTGCATATTGTTAATAATGTTTTTAAGAGTATCTGATTTGGTTAGTGCTACCACATAAAATTAAGAACTAGTACATTGAAAAATAGCTTATTAAGTGAAAATGATACATTACTTTGTAAATGAATAAAACATTGAAGTATTATTTATTAAAAGCTATTGCTGAACCAGATAAAATTGGCTAGATTTTCTTAGATTTGTTTTTGCATTGTCAACCTTTTGAGTTTTCAGTTGAAAGAGGCTCCATTGGGTGGGCGGGGGGCAGCATGTTTTCAGTGGTGGAGGTGCATTTGGAGTAGTAGCGCTAAAATGATATGTTTTTTTTCCTATATGAATTATGACTTTAATAAAATGCCATTAGTAAAGATTAGAGTAATTCAAAAATCTCAATCATGCATTGCATGGGAATGTTGGGATAACGCTCTCTTCTTGAGATATTTGCTAGCTTCATTAAGATTTGTTCATCTCATTTCAAGGCATTTGGGAGCATAAGAGGCTAAGATCTGTGTTTTAGAATTTCAGTTACCTGTGATGTAAATTTCTCAATCATTTAGATGAAAAAAAACACATTTTATCCTTCTGACCCCCATCCATACTCTTTGATGTTTTTTTATTTAACTCCTTCCAGTAAAGTTTTTATTGAAACTGCAGTAGTGTTTGCTCTCCAGGTGGAAGCAGAATCATTGTGTTTTTCAAATGAGCTTGACGAGATGAGAGAAACATTAGAGCATAGGAAATTAGTGATGGGAAACATGTCTATGAAATCAAAGGTCTTAAAAGAGAAAGTCAAGAAGGAAGAGGAACTACTCAGTAATGATATCAGGTCTTTGTTGGTTGCTGGAACTGCTCTTTCTTTAGCTAAGAAGCATCTGCAGGTATCACATAATTTGCATCTTTTATTTGTTTTATCCTTCAAGTTCTCAAATTTTGAGGTAGTAGCTCATATTGCAATTTACTTCTATGATTTATTATGTGAATTTTTGTTTTCATTACACTAGCTATTGGGTATTCAAATTTGTTGCTTATACTTTCTATTACAACCAAGGTGAATGCCTTTCTTTCCACGGGATGTCTATATCTGTTTTCCTTCTCAGTGAAACAATTGGTTCAATGTCCGTAAGAATTATGCAAGTCAAATACCATTAGTTGGCAACAGCCCCAGACACGTAAACAAAACTGGTTTTTTTGAGTCGTGTTGACTGTTGATCCTAGGCATGCATATTCTCCATCTCTGTGTTTTATAATTTCAGCCATCAACTAGATGTCTATATGGCTATTTTGAATTTTAGGTTTTGTTATTCCACCTTTAGTCGTGCTTCTATTATTCCTTGGAATGATTTCTTGGAGTTCCTTTCGCTTATTTTTGAATGTGAAATGGCTTTAAATATCCCCAATAGAATCTGCAAAACCTTGGGGAAATTAAGTCCCTGTTTTCATCTAAATCACAGGTGGAGAGTGGAGATAATGTTGCACTTTGCAGAAATGGTAGATTTGTCTGTGGTTTCAAATAAATGATTCCATTTAGTTAAAATTGGTTATTATGTTGAATGGACAAAATGGAACATTTTCTCTGTTGATGTGAATTCTTTGCACGTTTGCCTTTGTTTTTTTCACCTTGTAGAAGATGAAGGAATCAAGAGAGTATAAATTATTATTATTTTTTGTCTTGAGCTAAGGGATTGAGACCCTACATACAAAGTATATACAAGAAATGCTTACATGGGAAACGGTATTCCTAATATCATGCCACTAAATACATGTATACTATTAATCCATCTATCCCAAAAAGGTTCTTATTTCAAAATTTTATTTTTGTTCCTATTTGTACAAAGTAAACCAAATATCATTTTATTTGATGTTTTTTTTGAGAAACTTGTGTCCCAAGCAAGTTAAATACCTTGTTCGTCCCCAAAATGGTTTTTTCCTTTTTTGTTTGTTCCAAAATAACGCTCATGTTTATCTTTATAGAAAGAATTGTGTGGTTCATATTATTCTCTTGCCTCTAAGTAAACAAACATGTCGGGTCAAACCTATAACCTTATTTTGGGATGACGGATGTTAAATTTACATAAACCAACAATGAAATAATAATAAAGCTGTTATTGATGATTTTCATTAGTTGTACGTTACAAAAGTTAAAATGTTGTACCTTGTTTAAACTTTTCTATTTTTATGGGACGGAGGGGGTACAACATTTTTTTCTCACCCTAACCTTTTAGTAGTCCCTGAGAATCTGAGATATGTGTGTTTCAATGCAGGATGCAAATAGATCACTTGCTGGGGAAATGGGTTTTGGAAATTTGAAGTCCATGCAGAGGTGTGTGAGACTAAGAGAACAATTTATGGTATCACAAGTCCAATTGCTTTATCCTGTGAAAGTAGCAACAGGACGCACACCAGAACTCGAGCTTGAACCATTTAGCAATATTATTAGATCAGGAGGTACTGATCCTGCTAGTTCTGCTCGGTATATTTTGATATACTCCGTATAATTTACCTTTCTGAATAATGTGGCTGCAAGTATGTTCTAAAAAATCTCGAAACAACCAAGTGCCATACCAAAGTACAGAGCATATTGATGAGTTTATAAGTTCCATGCAACTCTTTACCCCCTTTTGACTGAAAGCTTCATTTCATTCTTATGTTCTTTGGCTTTACATAATCAAGCTGTGCAGATTGCAGATGAAAACTGCCTATTGACATCTGTTGAAGTTATTCATATGTGTGACCATGTGATATAATGTCACGGAGCATATTCTCGGGAACTGAAATTTCATCATAAATATCGCAATACCTCAAAAAACTAAGGTTCAAGCATCACATAATATCAAGTATTGCCTACTTGCTACTTCAAAAAACATTAAAAGTTAATTAGATTGAGAAATGTTAAGTAGGGTTATAACTATCTAGTGGTATGAAATTTCGATAACAGCCACCACTATCTCCATATCATCTTCATATATATTTACAAATATGTCAATGAAGTATAGTTTTTCATGTGTAAGCAATTCTTAGTATAATATGCCAATAAAACATAATCATCTTGCATATTAATATTTATTTATTTATTTAATAATTGACCTTAAGAAGGTCTACGACATGGTGCACAAGGGAGATCTTTTGGAAGTGTCTTGAGTGTAGAGGGGTTTCAATTGCGTACATTCGTGCAGTCAAATATATTTTTGTCAGGGGGAGGACTAGGGTGAAGAGGGGGTTACACCAAGAGTCTTCACCTGTTTGCTTTGGTGATGGATGTTTCTGTCGCATGATGTCCAAGGGGAGGTTCTCTGGTTCATGTTTTTGTTGATGATATTGTACTGATCAACGAGACTAGTGAGAGACTCAATGACTAGTTGGAGTTGTGGTGTCATTCCTTGGAATCAAAGGTTTCAGACTGAGCAGGACTAAGACTGAATACTTGAAATGGTGCTTTAGTGGTTGGATGACGAAATCAGATATGGAAGTTAGAATTGATTCACACCTAGTGCTTAAGAGAGACAAGTGTTGGTATCTTGGTTCAGTCATTTAGGCAAATAGGAGAGATATATGAGGATGTTGTTCATCGTACTCGCTTGGGCAAAGTGGAAGCTCGTTTCCAAGGTATTATGTGACAAGAAGATTTGAGTAAGGATGAAGGAGAAGTTCTATCGGTCTGTAGTCTGACTTTGCTTTAGAGAGCAAAGTGTTGGGTGCTTAAGAAAACCCACCTTCGTCAACTGCATGCAACAGAGATGCAGATGCTGTGGTGGATCTGTGAGCAGACAAGGTTAGATAGGATTCCGAATGAGATTATTCGAGGACGGGTGGGAGGCATCTGTGGAGGATAAGCTGCTGGAAGCTATGTTGAGGTGGTTTAGGCACGTAAAGCGGCGAAGCGTTGAGGCCGGTGCGGAGATGCGAGAGGCTTATAGTAGTGGGTGAGAGTGGGGAAGGGGTAGACCTAAGAAGAATTGGAAGAAGGTGATTAGACATGGCATCTCGAGATCTAGGACTAGGGTAGTTGATTAGTTGTTTGGGCCTTGGTAGTAGTTTTTGCTCGTCTTTGTGTGTTTTCTATGCTTCTAGTTGCTAGCGGCGGTTTGTGTGATTTTTGTCTCTTTGCATTCTATGTACTGGACTTTAAAATTTGCAACATTTTTTTAAAAATATTTTGGGGTATTTATGCAGGACAAAAACCTCTAGATCAAGGATCCTTGACAATTGCAGGTCTGCATCTTACCGTGGTCCCTTTTACGAAGAAGAGTTTTTTCACTGATAAGAAGGAAGTTCAGAGGTCTGCAACTGCTCTGGGTTATGTTGCACATGTGTGTTCTCTCTCTTTGATTCATGTGTATATTCTATTTGATAGCTCCGCATCCATATTCCATATTCTGAATTGGTTGCCTTTTCATTCGTACCAACCATGGTAGACTATGTTGATCGAATATCATTATACAACGTACTCGAGCCATTGTCTTTAACTTGTACATTTACAACTCAATGATTTATTTATCTTTGGCAGTCTTCCCACCCTGCATTAGCATGACGTTCCTAGTACTCTAGCATAGTTGATCTCGGTGATTTGACTATTTGCAGGCTGTGTCACTTATTGCCTGCTATCTACAAGCTCCTCTTCGCTATCCCTTGCGGTTAGGAGGTTCCCGATCATACATACGTGATTATGCACCTTCAATTGAACCATCATCATCATTGTTGTCGTCAGATGTGGCATCACAATCATCACTCTCCACAAATTTGAGGCATGTGGAGTTTCCTCTTTTCTTAGAAGGGCAAGATGCAACAAGAGCAGCATATGCTGTCTTCCTGCTAAATAAGGTTTGCTCTCTTTTTCATACTTTTTTTTTTGGCTTTCTTATCTGTCATTTTGTTTGATCAAATTCTTATTTGGAGGCCACCTATAAATGGATGGTTTCAAAGGGTTTTGGTTTTTTCCCTTTGTACTTTCTTTCTTAATTAATAAATTGTGTTTCTTTCCCAAAATAAATAAATAAATGGATGGTTCGAATTGTATAGCCATGCATTGTCTACTAGCATTGCAGATAGTAAAATGTTCATTACTCTGTAAAACATCGACATGACTACAAATTGTAATAAAACAATGTCCCCTTATACTTTTATGAATCACTTCACAAAGCAGATGTTTTTCTGTTCTATATGAGCATATGATTGATTGTTCACATTTGATTTATTTATTTGCACTTGTTTTGTAGGATCTGGAACAGCTTTTGAACTATATTGGAGCAAGAAGTTTAGGGCCACGCCATGTACTCGCTAATCTAAGGGAGCTATTGAGAGTCATTCTCTCTCCGGAGTATATAGATACATAAACTGTGAGGTTTGATTGTATTTGTGTGCTTTTTGTAAATGTGATATTTAATTTTGAGCAGGTGCCATTTTTTTACATAGGTGCACTTGTTGTAGCTCTATTCTAATTCGTACATTGAAAAAATACAAGTTGTATACCTTTTAAAGTGAGATCAGTTTAGCCTTCTTTGATTGTTTTTTTATTGTTGTTGGGTGTGTGTGTGAGAAGAAAGTTTTTTTTTTTGATGAAAGGAAATACAATGCCCTTGTGGATTTGGGGGGGGAGTGAATATTTTAACCAAACTGACTGTGAAATCAAAGACTGAAGTAATTGAAACTTTGGTTTACATTTCAGTTTTGGTTGCGTTCTTTCACTAAACAGACATGTCCCAATCAGTCTTATTTTAATATCTATAGAGACCTACGGGTATGCAGTAAAATGACTCAAACATTCTAATGTAAATATGTAATCGATATCCAAACTTTGCCCTTTGTAAAATGACAAATATTCGGATGTATATATTATACATTCGAATGTAAGCTATAATCTACGAGCATCCTTTTCTGAAAGACGCACACGTTTGAATGTTAGGCGACCAGACATGCTTAGTCGAATGTTTAATCGATTGGTTGTGTGTGTTCTTTAACCAACAAACGTGTCCCAATTAGTCTTTTTAATCTATAGAGACTCATGATATGTTTGAGAAAATTGAACTTCCATACTCATGAGATACTAATGTCTTAGGTCTCGTTCTCTTCAATTTATTTTTTCTATTTACTAATGCTTATCAAAATTTGACGAGTTCAAATTACATCAGATCCGATCAGTTCAGAAGAGTTTAGAACAGATGATATCAATTTAAATCAGCAACAATTTTAAATTACACTACAATTAGATTAGATCAAATCAAAACCATCAAGTTGTGACTAGATCAGCCAATGAGTTCAGACGAAGAAAATGCAACGTAATCAAATTGAAGTATTTTTGTACTCTCAAATACCTTTAGTCTGAAAGCGTATTTTACGCGATCCGTTGAGTCTATCAAATCTTCTTTGCGTTCATCGTATACTGATCATATCAAATGATGTTACAAAATATCGTCACCCTTCCTAAATTTTCAATAAGATACAATCAGTATCGTGCAAAAAACATCATAGACAATAAAAAGAAACTTTTGAGGTAAAGAATTTAGGACAAAGAAAGTATTTCTTCCACCCCGAATTAGTGGTTTGTTCGACTTCACGAAATCTAAGAAAAGTGTTGAAAAGTAAAACGTCAGTAGTTGAAATTAATTTAGAAAAACGAGAAAGATAAAATACCACATGTTTTCTACTTTATTAGATAAATAAAGCAGCAAGACATTTATATTTAGGGGACTTTTTTTTACGTTGTTTTTTTAATTACAGTTTGAAGCTTTTGCAGAGGTGGACTTGTGTTTTCCAAAAAAGAAGCTGTTTTGGACGGTAAATCATGGCCTTGCGCATTTCTTGAGGAAACAAACTATAAAAAAATTGAGTGATGGTTCTCTATATTCCATGTACAACCAGTTAGAATCTAAGATGGCAAAGGACTTGTGGAATTTACCTCTTTTTTTTAAAAAAAAAAATTGGAGCAGTTCGAGTTTCAGATTTGACTGTACACTACTTTGACGATTAACATACGGAGTATTTAATTATTTATTAGTAATAATTATAAAAAGGTACTACTCTGTATATTTTATAAACAAAGTTGAGCCAAGCTTAATAGTATTTCAAATAATAGAATTTGTTTTCATGGAGAAACTACTGGGAAAGTAAGGCATGTGAACACTGCAAAAGTCTAGTCTATAGATAAATGAACTGATTTTTTTCTTCTTAAATCACAAAGTTCCAAGGCAAACAAACATCTACCCAATACAGAGTGCAGTTTTAGCATCTCTTACATGAAAGGTTGTGTTGTGCCCCAAGGAAAGCATGATGGTCTATCTATAAGAATCATGAGAAAGTCATGGTGCTTTCCATTGCACATCCAGCAAGCTCCCAAACAAACAAAAAGATCCGAAACGGTCATTCTTTTGATGAATTATCTCTATTTTCTCGACGTTCAAGCCGGTAACTGAAGCTTTGTGTTGTTTTTCCAGCTGCAGACATCATAATAGCCCTCGTCAAGAAGGGTATATCCATTTGCGGCTAGAATCAATAAAACACTAAATGCTGCATTTAAAGTTTTACCTTTGGAAGTAATAGTAGAAGAAATCGGCATAAAGCAATGTCTGAACAAGGCCAGCTATCCAAGCTGCAATAGGGAAGATGAATGCAATGCCAGAAGAGAGTTACATATACGTTAATTAATGACATGCAGCAAAAGCCAGACACACATTCCGATACAAACAACAGTTCATCTGAGGAATATAAATAATGTCCGATTCGTAAACATGGGTTGCCTCACAAAAAAAAGGCATTTTAGGCCCAGTTTTGTAACCATTGTGTTAGCAGTGTGTGTTAGATGTTGGGTGATTGTTCCAACAAAACATAAAAACAAGTTTCTGTAAACAAATATTGAAAAATAGCTGCTCCAAAAAGGTTGAGAAATACGGAGTAAGTTTTTTGGACCCAGCTTTACCAAAACACTTTTAATAGCTACCCTTTAGCCCAAAAAACTCTTTTACAAAAAGCTCTTTGCCAAGAATCCCCTGCTCAATGAGAAATGAGAGCTCCTTAATTAGACAACCCATCAAAGTTCAAACAGGATGCACCACAGTAGAACTTTCACTATGAAGGTATCATATTAGTATATTACACTATTCCTCTGTAAAAAAACAGGAACATCACATGTACAAATGGAGAAGTGTGGTAGGAAAGTTGCGAGTGGTGGAGGGGTATGAGGACCGAATACAAAAACATACTTATCCAGTGGACATAATGAGGCTCTGTGAAGTAGCGATAAATCCAGTTTAAGATGTACAAGGAGCGATATGCACTGCAATGAGAGAAAGGGTTAAACAATAATCCAAAGTCTACGAAATACTACTACACTTTTAAATCATAACATAAAATAATTATTTTATTAAGAAGTAAAACCGATCGCAAAATAATGACTATAGTTTGTTGACAGATATTGTCAAGGATGAGAATTCACCCCAAGAGCAAAACATATTGGCCAGTCAAGTTGTCAATATTTCTTGTCCTCTGCAACAACACCAGCTGAGGCAGAATGGCAACAGCTTCCAAATAAATTGAGAAGGTCCACATTACCTTGTGAATCACATGGAAGAGATACATCATTATTATGATGGAAAAAGTGAAAAGATGAATAAATCTAATCCATCATTTGAGGAACACACGAATACCTCTTTAAAGGTAAACTTCTCATTTATGATAAGAGCCAAAAGTAAACATGGAAGGATCAGGAAATAGTGACGAAAAGTGTCTTGGTCTTTGTCATATGATCTCCGAACAATTTTGTGACGCCGTATGTACCAAACAATTGAGAAAGAGCTTCCTAAGAATATCAGTTTCATTACAGTGTTATAGAGAGAGACATAGTCTGTGAATATGTCCAAGTAGCGAGCAGCAAAAACAATAGCATACAGCTCTTGTGTCTTTCGAGAAACACCTGCACTTAGCAAAATATATTCCATATTAAATGACCAGATAGAGGCTGGGAAGTGAACTATTATAAGTTTTATGTTTAGATACAAATCACTATGTACATTGCCAATCCAGCTAAAAGAGTCATTATTGAATAATGATTTAGCTTCGAGTCATTGCCAATTGATTCAATGAAAATGTTACATTAAACTTTGCTTCTTACTTCCTATGAAATTTTGGGTATTTAACGCACCAATGCGTCACGAGTTTAACGCAAACAACCTCCTCACTGCACCAATGGAGTTGAGATGTCCAGTTTTGTTGTTTTGACAAATCCTTAAGAAGCAAAAAGGTTTTTAACTAAAGAGAGAAATTAAATGACTTCTGCTGGCATTTTAGGCACCACAACTAAACCCAGACAAAATTGCAGCCATTCAAGCATAAACCCTAAACATGGTCTGCCTAAACAATAGCAGCTTGGCAAAATACTCCATCTGAAACACTAATTCCGAATCCCGACCCATCAGAATATAAAATCACACAGGAGTAAGCTCTTTAAGAAGCCAATTCTCACAAACCCAGATTCATCAATGAACAAATAGATAGCATAATATATATATAAGTACAATAAAACAGATTTGGGAAGGTCTCTATGAACGGTTGACCAAAACTACATACCGGCGCATGATTTGATGGTATGGATCTTGAGAAGCAAAACCAGCACGCTGGCCAAATGGGTCATGTCCCCCGCTAATCTGAATATATTCATTTTCGGTTCTTTCTGTAAACCTCTTTTTTGACAGTTTCGCTTGAGCTTAGTCGACCAGGAAAGGGAAATGCCCAGAAACGTCTGGTTCTGGATCACTCCGGGACAGATCTTTGTAGATCCAAGCAGCAGTACCTACAAATTATGTTTTTTTTTAAAAAAAAATGTCCGGAAGCCTCTTGCTCTGAACCTGACCGTGAAGCAAGACGAGGGTCAGCGGTCAAAGACCTTGGTTGGGTAATATGACTAAAATATAAAAAATATACTAAAATAGAATTTTCATGTTTTTATTTCCGAAATATGATTTATATTACCATACATGGTTATATATATTACTAAAAAAGTATAGTAATTTACACATGTATACTGCCACATTACAACAAGACAACATCACATTATCACAGTGCAAAGTCCTATTTTGGAGAAAAAAAATATGAAAGTCCTATTTTGGTACTTTTCTCTATGTTTTAGTTCTATTTAGGGTGATTTCTATTTTGGTTGCTGATGAGAAATAATACGTGGCTCGGCCCACATTTCCCAATTATTTACGAAGAACAATTAAACCGGACCTGTTTAATAAAATAGAGGAATAAGAGAATATTTCTCCGTAGATGCTCTCACACTCTCCTATAAAAGGGAGGGTTGCCCTAATTGTTGAGGGGGGCAAAACTCACCCTCTCCCCTCCACATTACACATTCTCTCTCTAGAACTTTATATATTTTCTTCTTCAAGAGCTTGTAGCTCCACCATTAATGGCTTCCGAGCCCGTTTCATGTATCGTGTACACACCCCCGATGTTAATAAAATCCCCCGTTGGCAAAGTACCGCCAAAAAAGACCTGTGGTTTTCTCCCGATTTGAGTTTCCACGTCAAAATTCCCGTGTTTATATTTTGGTGTATTTTTTAGACTAGTTTATCGTTTTTGCCGGGCTAAAAACGATATACCGGTCGATAATTTACACCATCAGTTGCTTTGGTTCGGATAAATATAATTTTAGATTTAGAATTACAAATGATCCGGTGTTTATATAGAATTATTTGTTCATTATCCATTATGGAGTATTTTAACACATACAAACCCATTCCATATTGAAAGGAATAAAAATTCAAAAAATGAACATAAAAAAACACATTCAGGATCTAGAATCTCGGAGATCCGAAGATTCACAGATTAGACATGAAATAGATTTTGGCCATGTTTGGAGATTAGTCTGTTGGCTGATTTGAACGGCTGATTGAGTTAGCTGTTTTGCCCGGCTGATTATATTAATTGCAATATAGCTGTTTGTAATGAAAGTGGTATTTTTAGACATATTTGCATATGTATGTGTTAATTAAAATTTTGTTCTACTTCGCATTACTTCAATTTTTTGTACCAAAAATATAACTTTAATCTTTTACCAAAAATATTACTTTAATTTTTGAATTTTGATAAAAGAACACACACCCCATAAATGAGTATTAAATAATCTTTTTGGTCCAAAACGTATTTACACTTATGGAGTATAACTTAAGAGTAATTTCAGCAATATTTTTTTCGTATTTGCATTTATCATTTTACATAATAAGAATCATATCACCTCTTATTTTATATACTCTTTACACTTACGGAGTAGAACATTTATGTTTTAATAAAGTCTACACAGTATTTGTCTCTAAGAAAATTGACTATTTAATTTTACAAAATTTAAAAGATGTGTAAAGTTTGTGAGAAGTATAAAAAATGTGTGGTTGAAATTTATTTAGAAAAGATCAAATCAATTTTATTCACATATTTGTTTCCCAAAAAAGTAAAGAAATGTTTTTAGACATCTTATAAAAAGCACTTAACCAAAATCTTAAATTGTAAGGGAAAAGGGGAAAAATGTGAAAGGCCAACTTCAAACGCTGCAAAATGTGGCTTTTCTAATTTTGGATGTCCAAGCTAACCCGCTAATCAAAGAGGTTGTTTACAAACAACTGATTGTGCAACTATTTCAGCCATTGGTAGTCAAATAACCAAAACATGTCTGAATGAACAACCCTACTTGAGTCTCACTATTTTTCTTCGCTCTTGTCAAGTCGTCCGTCACATCACCAACCCGACCTCCGAGATACCTCACCAATCACATTTGTCATTCTGCTCAGCCTGTACCTCATTACTGCTTCCCCGAACAAGTCTACATTTTTAGGTACACGTTTTCCTATTGCCAATTACTATGTTTGTTATGATAAACTAATGCAAGGCATTCTGAATTTTTTTGCTACTCTTAGTCCTCATTTTGAACCCCATAAAATGATATTAATTTATTTGTGCTCTTAGGACATCCACACACAACAGTTGTAGCTTTAATTCATTGAAGAGCCAAACACCATTTTTTAAGCATTGGAGTTGCCCTTGAGAAGTCATTATTCTTCACAGCATTCACTAGATTTGACATGACTTGACTCCTTTACCATTTCCAATTACAAGATTCAGTGACAAAACAAAGAGCCAATGGTTTGTGGTTACCAAAAACCAAGTTTCAATGGTTCCACAAGTGGTAAAAAGAAATACTTGAGAGACTACAAATACTTCTTCATAAATGGAAATTTACACCTAAATTAGTTTGGCCATTCCAACCTAAAAGAGCAGAAGAAATTCTCCATTTCTAGCAAAACTGTAATAACCTAGCCTTCAATTCACTATTTCAACCTTCCCCTTCCCCCTCATCCTAGAAGCCTTACATAATATGCACCAAAAGGAATAGAAAAGACCCCACTGCTAACATATCTTGAGCCCCGCCGGAATCCGGCGAGCCAAGATTGCCTCCTCCAAACCTGTCCCCTGGCTTTGAGATCGTAGTTCCCGTTGGCGGTGGGTAAATGATTGTTGTAGGGCTTGTAGTTGTAGGTGTCCCACTTGCAGTTCCTCCTCCTCCTCCCTGAGTCACTATTCCTCCTCCTCCTCCCGGATTCACTAGTCCTCCGGCAGTACTGAAAACGTTTTGGAACCAAGGGAACCAGAAGTTACTAATGACAAGTTATATGGACAACATTTTAGATAGAGCGCATCTACAAACCGCATTCCCTTTTAGACTTGTAGTTTCCATTTTATGCGAAAAATAAACAACGGAGCATTATAAATCAAAACAACGAACACATTAAAGTTTTGTTGCTACTTACTTTCGATGACGTTTTGGACAGTAAATGCAAAAATGCATCCAGGGTCTCACTATTTTTATAGGGGTAATATTATATGATGTTACACATTCAAAACAGCTATGATCAAGAACAAGTTCACACACATTCTGCAGATCAAACATTCTCTTATATCAAACGGGACTCAATGGACATCGTTTTGGAAAGAGGGGGGCACACAATATTACGTAAGGTAGCGTATTTATTTGGATGATTCATTGGGAAAAAACATAGATTCCCCCAATGGTATTTACTGGAAAAAAATTGCAGGCATCATTGTCAAAGCAGTGGCTAGATTCCTGGTATAAGCATGAATTAGTTGACCCATCGCTGCGTTAAGTTATTTTTCGTCTGAGTTTAGTTGTCTACTTGTCTTAACCCCCAAATTAAAAAAAATGAAGCAAATTTACAAGAATGCATTTGAAATTCCTAAGTCCTCGAACTTCATTTACGAAGTGGGAATATTGAAATGTGAATAACTAAATTAGAACGAAATGAGCTTTACTCGTATAATCTTGATCAACACAGAATCTTAATAGAGTATGACTAACTAAAGAATTTCATGGCATATCTTGGGTGAGGGATTGTAGCACCACACACACACACACACACACATTTCTCTATAGCTAACTTTTATTTTGTGTAAAAAGTAAATTAAAATAGGACTAAAATAAACCAAATGCAACGGACAATATTTTATTTGAAAGACAATGTTCATTGGTTCCGTTGGAAAATTCACCTTTGTTCCCATAAAGTTGGTTTTGTTAGACAAAGGTATGACTTTTTATTGGTGGTAAAGTACAATTAGGGTCCGTTTGGTACACGGAATTGACAAAATTTGAATGGAATTGGAATTAAAATTCTATAGAGTTGAATTAGATGGAATTGAATTCTCCAATTGGAATTCATTTTTTGCACTACTAATAACAAATCACATATTTTTGTGCTACCAAACAACAAAATTGGAATTGCAGTGTCTAATTCTATGGCTTGAATTCCGTATACCAAAGGGAGCCTTAATGGAAATCAACAAATATTGTTGTGCGCTCATTTGACTTAGATTTTCTTTTTTGGCCAATTTTGGTTCTTAGAATCAGCTAGAATCAATTATTTAAGAAAGTATTAAGGCTTTGTTTGGTACACGGAATTGGAATTGAATAAGAATTGAAATTCGATATAATAGAATTGGATGATATTGAATTAGAATTCAATTTCAAATCCTTTATTTGGTATAATTAAGGAATTAATAAGGATGCTTAGATGGTTCCAAGATTCATATTTAAAATGTGGACCTTCTCACATTTTTCATGGGCTTGCATGTGAATAATATTTTCTTTTTTTTACAAAAGGTCCACTTATTTATGCTACAAATGCACTAAGATCCATAAAATAAGTATGGACCTTATGTTCACGCAAGAATTTGCCTTTAAAAATGGTTCTTAAACATAATCAAAACTTCTAATTTGTTGATATAATACATTTTATTTTGTGCTTAGAATCTTGTACGTATTTCTAATTACCTCAGACACAATTTTCATGCCTTAAGTTGTGTCTTCATCGAATTACATTCACAATTCCCAAATTTTATTAAGTTATATTCTCAAGAAATATGGTTAGTATGTTCTAGGATTATTGTCTGAAGTAATCAAGTACTTAATTCTTCAAAATTAATTATTTCTTTGGGCCGGGTGGTTGTTTTTGTTCTTGTTGTGGTGTTTTATAGGTTTGGTGTATTTTGTTTTTTTTTTCTTTTGTATTTTTCAAACTTGAAGCTTGCTCTTTGATTGTTTTTGATGTTATGCAATCTCCACGTTTCTCGGGGGTCTCCTTCAAACAACAACCTCTCTATTATCTTTGTATAGACTTCCAGAAGAACAATTAGGTTAAATGGACCATAGATGGTTGGGTATATACTCTACAGACAACTGGCCAAAGACTAATAGCAATTCATGGTCCTTTAGGTGTTCCCGTTACATTCTCAAATATTCATTTCAAGTGGAAGGAAATCTATTTGCTAATGGTCAACCGGTAAGATTTAAAATGACCTGATTGTCCATTTGAGAGAAAATGTTAGACTATCCCAAGAAGGGTTTTTATACTCAAACACACCCCTCACGTTGGGGCAAGATTTGTTTTTGCTCGAATCTTGCACGTGAATATTAATTTTTTAAAACTGGGTGGTAATGAGATTTTAAGTTTTAACTAGTGACCTCTTAGTAATAAGATTCTGATACGATGTCAGGAAACCAATCCAATTAAAAACTCAAACTTGTTTTAAGATTGCTGCGTTAATTAACTTAACATATTGACTTTGTTTGGGGTACTTATTTTATATTTAAAAAACATTAAATATATGAACAAAAAAGAGATATGTGAAGTTAATACTTAATACAGTTACCCAAACAAGTAGTTACTGAATTTAAAGCAAAAAAAAGGGAGGCAACATACCTTAAAGATGATGGGTACACGCAAGAGCCGTAGCCTATTTACCCCAAACACCAAATATAAAAAAAAGAAGATAAAATTAGAAAATTACTCGCACTCATTAAATACTCGTAAAATTTTATTTTTAGCCCTCCTACCAAAACTGAGTTTTTTTTTTACTTTTTTGTTCAAAATACTCCCTATTTAAACTTTCCCATTTCATTAAAAAAATAAATAACAAAGTTCATCTGCAAACATAATTTTAAAATATAATAAAAGAGCAATGCTACGTTCACAAACAGAATAATCACAAACTTACCATTCATGATTTAAATTTTCATTTTAAAATTATTCTAGACTATTTAAAATTTTTAACACAAATAGTAAGTTTGTGAAATTTGTGAATATTTTGTTTGTGAATATAGCATTTCTCATAATAAAATTATGAGAAAAGTACACCGTTTACCCCCGAATTCTTCGGAAATTACACGGTTACTCTTGAACATTAAAAAGTGCACCAAATACCCCGAACTCTTTAGAAATGCACGGTTTACCCCTGAACATTAAAAAGTATACCAAATAGCCCTGAACTCTTTGAAAATTGCACGGTTTACCCCTGAACATTTAAATAAAGACGATAATTTGAGGGAAGGGTACTTTGGAGAATTCACAAAGGCCAGATGAATCATACTCGCGATTTCTGTGAGTGGGAGCAATGCACTCCCTATCTAGCATTTTAGTACCCGCGGTGCAACGCTTTAAATTGTTCAAGGCTATTTGGTGCATTTTTTAATATTCAAAGGTAAATCATGCAATTTTTGAAAAAGGCGAAGGTAAATGGTGTGTTTTTAATGTTCAGGATTGAACCATATAATTCTTAAAGAATTTGGAATAAATGATGCACTTTTGTCATAAATTGATTCTCTTCATCCGAATCTATTTCTCCACACATCTTTTTATTGAGACATTCTAAAAGAATATATTGTCACTATTGCAATCAATGAATCCAAAAACTTCTTCTTCAAGCGGCATAATTACTAAGTGCTCAAATTTAATTGATTTTGTTTGTTTATTTTCCTTGTACATTTAATAAAATAATATATTTATGTGATTTTGTACGGTCAACTTTTTAAAACTTTAATCCCAAAATAAGGGAAAAATACATTGAATTGAAATATAAATTTAATACTAATAGATTTATTTTGAAATATCATATTTTTATAATACGGAGTGATCTTATATATAATTAAAAATATTAATAATCAAAGCATTGTATTGAAAATCGTGCAAGCCAAACTTGAAAGAATCAAGGAGTAGAACGTAATTTTTAAGTAATTAATTTTTTTTTTATAACTAGACAGCATTTTATTTAAAAATAGTTTCATTCAAAGGTTTAGCCCGCAATCCGGAAGCTAAGATAGGGAGTGGGTATGTAAACTTACTGGGGTCAGTTTTAGCGACGTTGGCGGTGCCGGAGAAATCGCAGGAGCCGGGAGCCATGGCCCGGCGCTGATAGTAGCTGTTGAAGGCGTAGGAAGCGTGGGCGAGGAGGGTGTTGGGGAGGAAGCACAGGCCGTCCGATTGCAACGGGATGCAGTCGGCGCCGGCCCCACAGGCGTAGTCCAGGGCTCGCTGGAGGGCCGCGTCGCTCGCCTCGCTCCTCGCCACGCACCACGTCGCCTCGCCCGATCCGCTCATCGCCGCCCACCAGCAGCAGCAGTACAGGACCATCCACGCCACCGTCGACGGCGGTTCCGGCGCCATATGTGCGGCCTTGCCCTGCACCCCGCGCGGCTGATTGAGAGTGGTGGAATTGGGAGTGTGGAGGGAGATCGAGAAGATGAGAGAATAAAAGGGGGGGGAGGGAGGTAGGGTAGGGGTCTTTGTTTGTTTGTTTGTATTGGGTGCTGAGCCGTTGTGGGGCCGTGTCTTATTGTGCTGCCTGCTTTTACTTTATTTTTTCTCTCTTGTTCCAGTTCCAGTACGTCGGAGCTGTGATATAAGCTTCTTTGCTGGCCAACATGACCGTTTGACTAATCCCCCAAAATAGTACATGACCTTTTTTAAAAGAAAATGATATTTCAAACACAATATTAGAATGTGAGAAAGACCAAAGTAGAAATAAAACATTGAAAATATATAAAAATAGGACTTCCATGTTTTTATTCCCAAAATAGGACTACATTAACAAACATGGTCATATACATTACCAAAAAAGTATAGTAATTTGCACATGTACACTACCACATTACCACAATGCAAAGTCACATTACCACAGTGCAAAGTCCTATTCCGAGAAAAAAAACATGAAAGTCCTATTTTGGTACTTTTTTCTATGTTTTAGTCCTATTCAGGATGATTTCTATATTAGAATTTTATCCTTTAACCATATCTTACACATCGAGATGGAAGATGATGGTGTAAATATAGCAGGGTGGGTTAACCGGGTTTGACCTGGACACACTCGACCCGTAATATAAAACACACAACAAGAACACAAAGTATGACCTAGATCGGGTAAATCTCCTCAGTCCGAATTATATTTCTTACTCTATCTCAAGAGTGAACTTTAGTGAGAGAAAAATTGGATCCCCTCCTCTATCCAATATCATCATATTTATAGAGGAGGATTTGTGACCTTCCCCTGTTCATCCATGGACAAAATAGGAAGCTCGTGGGAAGGTCACTGTAGATAATGGAAGCACCGTACGATCATGGACTTGCTACTAATACAACCAAAAAGCACTGTTCAATCAAAGACTAAAATGGATATTCTCAATCCAATCAACCCTGCAAAATGACAAACATCCCTTTCACTGTGTGCCTCGTGATGGATGAGCGGCGGGGTGTCCCCTTGACCTTAGACGTGGTTCACCATGCCTAAGTCCTATTCCGGGGAAAAAAACATGAAAGTCCTATTTTGATACTTTTTTCTATGTTTTAGTCCTATTCAGGATGATTTCTATATTAGAATTTTATCCTTTAACCATATCTTACACATCGAGATGGAAGACATTCGACATAATTCCTTGTTTGTAATGCTGAGATTAAAAGGTGATCTTGAAATATTGAGATCAATCAAATATAATCCTTTTTCAAAATTGGAAAATACTATTTTAACCTCAATATTTAAACTCACCTCTTAACCGCATTCTTACAGACATTAGAGTTGCTGATTAGGATGTTTCTTCTTGTTTAAAAGCATTTTAACTCTAATAATAATTTATGGAAAAATATATTAAGTTATGATATAAAATTGATATTCATTGATTCATTTTAAAATAAAATTTTAAAATATCATATTTTTATAATATAAAATTATATAGAAAAGAAGAAGAAAATTATGTAACGGATGGAGTATTTTTAAGATGAAATACTTTAAAATAGTATCCGCTAATTAAGAATGATGCCCTGTTTTCTAATTAACGACCGTCAAAATGGTGTCAAAATGATGTTAAACTTATACTACTTTTCTAAAATTGTCCTTTTTAATTGGGTGTCTCAAATTAATCATGTCTAGAAGTTCTTTTAGATCATTTAAATAAAATATTTAATAAATCTTATTTATATGCTCCCCAATTTGAAATAAAGTTCTTTTTTGCTTTACAATGTATGGAGTAACTAAAGCTAAAAATTGGTCTAGAGTTGTAAAAAAATATATTAAAGATGGACGCAAGAAATTCTACGATACAAGTGATGGCAAGACTATTTTTTAAAATGATCAACAAAAATGTACTGAAAAAAGATTTAATTAGTTTGACTTTCTGAATAATAAACATGAATCTTTTTAGCATGAATGGAGTATTATTTAGTCACGGTAATTCCAAATTTACAAAACTCAATTTTATTAAAATATAAAATCCTTTATTTTCATGAAATTTATTATTCTTGAAAGTAGATCTTATGTAATAAAAATACTCATTTTGTCCCAAAATAAAACTCATGTTAACTAAGAAAATCTAAACAAATTTTTAATTATATTTTTTTGAAAAAAAATTCAGTCAAACTGTACAATTCTAGAATTGTAACGCCCAAACCCGCGTAACACGAACCAACGACTTAGCAAACTGGTTTGCTATAATTTGGTATTCGCACGTACAATATTTAAAAACATTTAGAAAATAAAACCAACATTCGTATTTATTTAAAATTAAATCATAGTTTAATCCGAGTAAACAAAACAAACGTGCAGAAGCCTTATATAACAACATTATCTAACATCCTTGTCATTTAAATAAAAAAATTCAACAAAATGTTTTTAATTTAGATCAAATAGCTTCAGGTCATCAACCAGCATCACGCCACACTATTCTTCAGTATGCTTCTCATCCAATCCTTGATCCCTACCTGTAAAAACATAGAGAAAAGTACCAAAATAGGATTTTCATGTTTTCTTCCCCGAAATAGGACTTTGCACTGTGGTAATGTGACTTTGCACTGTGGTAATGTAACAGTGTACATGTGCACATTACTATACTTTTTTGGTAATATATATGACTATGTTTGGTAATGTAAGTCCTATTTTGAAAATAAAAACATAGGAGTCCTATTTTGGTATAATCTCAATGTTTAAGTCCTACTTTGGTCTTTCTCCCTTTTTAATTACATATGTACGTGCGAATATGTATAAATGAACGAGCATGTAAATTTAAAAAAATAATGTTTACGATTTTACTTTCTCCAATTTGATTCTTAAGTTATAATCTATACAATTTTTTTACAAGTTATGATTTACTTTTTTTTGAACAAACGTACTAATATATTCCACTCCCAAGAAAATATTCAGTACAAGACCAATACTATCATCAAACTAGTTACATTTTCTTTTTGTAGTCTATATAACTATGAAGGGTAAATTTAATGAATTCAATGGTGTTCTACTCCGTGATGTTCTTCTGATGAATAATCCCATTCCGCGCCCTCCATATGCCATAACATCCTATCGCCCAAGCTGCGATAACCTCCCCGCGAAGTGTACATCTCACCCTCGTGTTAATCATCTCACCAAATTCCATAATGCTGTGTTGATCATACCGTAGGTTGTAAGGTTGCAATACAAAATTTAACACCCTTCTAGCATACTCACAGTCAACAAACAGATGATTGCTGTCCTCCAAATCACCCCCACATAGTACACAGTCAGTGTTAGTAGAGCACCATTTAGCCATTCTAACCTTGATTAAAAGTTTGTCTCGCATTAATAGCCAGAATATAAACTGCACTTTGGGAGGGGTTGCTTTGTTTCACACCCAGTTAGCCCATCCAACCCTCTGGAGTTCACCCTGAAGCCACTCATAGCCTTTTTTCACCTCAAACTCCCCAACTAGCTGCATTTCCCTAAATTTATCCCTCACCCTTACCATTTGTCTCCAATAATGGCAAGAGCTGGGCTTAGGGATATAATCCCAGTAACTAGCAGATTGAATATACCTGGAGTGTATCCATTTGACCCAAAGCACATCCTTCTTGTTAGCAATGTCCCAATTTAATTTCATAATGGTTGCTTTGTTCCAGTTAATGATGTTTCTCAGCCCAAGACCACCTTTGCTCTTAGGTTGGCATATGATATCCCAACTAACAAGGGGAGATTTGGAGTAATCTGCTGCCCCACCCCATAAAAAGTTTCTGCATATGCTCATAATCTTCTTAAGCACCATTTTGGGCAGAATAAAGATTCTGGTCCAGAAAGTGATGACCCCCATAAGCATGGCATTAATAAGTCTAATCTTTGCACAGTAGGATAAATGCTTAGAGTTCCAGGCATTGATCTTGGCAGTTAGCTTAGCTACTAATCTATCACAATCTAAGGATTTAAGGTGAGAAGTAGTGACTGGGCTACCAAGATAAGTGAAAGGTAATTTGCCTCTGCCCATTCCAGTTAACTTGAGTAGACTATCTTGTTGCTGTGGTTTGACTCCTCCTAACACCACTTGGGATTTGTTTGGGTTGATCTGCAGTCCAGTAGTCTCCTTGAATTTCTCTAGTGCTTTTCATAATACACTGGATAGAACCTTCATCCCCCTTACATACCACTATTAGGTCATCTGCAAACATTAGGCTAATGATCTTCATTTCTGCACACATTGGGTGGTATTTGAATCTTCCTTGGCTTGCCATTTCTTGCAACAGTCTAGTAAGATATTCCATAACTAGAACAAATATTAGAGGAGATATGCCTGTCTAATCCCTTTTTCCCCTTTGAAATGGCCATGAGTCTCACCATTAATACATAGAGAATAAGAGGGGATAGAAATACAGAAACGAATCCAGTCTATAAATTCAGCTGGAAACATCAGACCATGTAGAATTTTCAGAATTGCATCCCAATTGACTGAATCATATGCTTTCTTGATATCTAGTTTCATCATGCACCTGGGGGATATATTTTTTCTATTATAGCCCTGGGCAAGTTCTTGACAAAGGAGAACATTATGGAGTAGCTCCCTTCCTTTAACAAATGCTTCTTGATTTGGGCTCACGATATGGGGGAGAACCTCTTTCAGTCTGCTATTAATCAGCTTTGCAATGGTTTTGTATACCACATTGCAACAAGCAATTGGTCTATAATCTGCTGGAGACATAGGGTTTTCAGTTTTGGGGATAAGGGAGATGTTAGTTGCATTGATTTGCTTCAGGGTTTTTCCACTCTTAAAGAATTCCAGTACTGCTTCTGTAACCAGTCTGCCCACTCTGCCCCACTGTTTTTTGAAGAAACCACTATTAAATCCATCAGGGCCTGGACTTTTGGAATTAGGAATGGAAAATATAGCCTCCTTCACCTGTAAAGGGGTAAATTCCTTGATTAATTCAATCTGATGGTTGACAGGCAGCCTAGGTCCTTTTGTTAGGGCAGTTTCATCCACTTCTTGACAGGGGTTATAGGAGCCCAGGATCTTTCTGTAATATGAGATAAAAATATCTGCAATTTGATCTGTCCCTTCCACAACCTTATTATTCTCATCTTGGATACTGATAATGTAGTTCTAAATTTTCCTCTTTTTAACCCAAGCAAAGAATAATTTAGAGTTCCCATCTCATTCAGTAATCCATCTCTCTTTAGCTTGCTGATTCTTTAAAGCTTGTGATGCTCTACTTTTCTTATAGAGCTCATCCTTGAGTTTTTGCTCTTCCTCCACAAGAGAATCACTCTGATTAGTCTTGAGCTCAGATTGGACCCTCAACAGTTCCTCCCTTATCCTCCACCTGCTTGTGGATTTTATGGTAATTGTTCTTGTGAAGATCAGATAAAGGAGCTTTTAGTCTTTTTAGGTTATGCACTAGCTTGTACATACTCCTATCATCCCCTTCCTCCTTCCAGTTAGTGCTTAAGATGCTGGGGAATTTCTGATCTTGCATCCACATATCACAGAATTTAAAACTCTTGGTTCTAGGTTTCCAGTTAATATTCTTTAGTAAAAGGAGAGAATGATCTGAAACTCCCTCCTCCATTATCACTGTCTTGGTATCAAAGTAATCCATCCAGTTCAAATTAGCCAGGCTCTGTCCAATTTAGAACTGATTCTTCTGTCACCTTTTTGTCACCTTTTTGCTTGTTGGACCAGGTATGGTAAGGACCATCTGATGGGATTTCATCCAAGCCACAATCCTCTATACATTCCTTAAAATCCTGGATTTCATCAGAAGTGATTGGGTTACCTCCCTTTATATCTTCCACATTCAACACAAGCATTGAAATCCCCTAGGATGCACCATGGGCCATTAATAGTAGAAGAGTATTCTCTTGTTTTGGTCCAAAGCTGCCTTCTGATGGTAATATCATTGGACCCATAGACAAAGGTAATGAAAGCATAATCTTTGGAGTCTAGATGTCTAAATTTGCAGTGGACAGCTTGATCAGTTGAATCAATCATCTGAGCAGTCACCTTATTCTTATTCCACACCACCCATATTCTTCCTAGAGGATGAAGATCACAGTTTGTGAAGGATCCCCAACCACCAAACATCTTATTTAGGATCTCTTCCTCTTTATTCTTCTTAATCTTAGTTTCTAGAATACCCATAATACAGATTTTATATTTATTAATAATATTAATAACTTCCCATTGTTTAGTAGGATTATTTAACCCTCTTATATTCCAGCTCAAGATCATGTAAAAAATAGGTAATGACCATCAATTGGGGTATTTTCTTTCACCCCTATATCCTCCAATATCACCCTCCTTGCTGCTTTCCTTCCACTTACAGTTTGAAATCCATCCTGATCCTTCTCATTGGATTGTTTGGGTATGAGGTTTTCTTCAGTTGAGTCTTTCTGTTCTCCACTTTCAGCTACATCTCTCTCTTCTTGTTTCTGTTTTGGGACCCAAATTTTCCTCTGACCCCCTCCTTGTGCCTTCTGCTCCTTCTCTTTCCTTCTACATTGTAGTGATTCATGCCCCAATTTCTTGCATTGCTCACATAAAGTAGGTTTCCACTCATATGTAACTTCTTGGGTAATCACCCTTTCATCCTCATCCACAAATTGTATTTTTTCAGGGAATGATAGATGGACTTGAACTTCAACCTGGATTCTGGAAAAGTTCCATTTAGCTTTCGTTGCAGTAGCTTTGTCTCTTTTAATGGGTTTACCTATTAGACTGCCCAATTTACTCAGCCCAGATAAGCTCCAGTACTTCATTTGGAGGTTAGGGAATTGAATCCAGATAGGTATATCAATCAATTTTGTAGTATCAATTGCCTTTCCAGAGACCCACTCCTGAACCGGCATTGGTTTATTGTCAAAGAAATAGTACTTACGTTTACTGACCTCATTTTTTTCCTCCACAGTTTTAAAGCAAACACTGAACTGACCTTCTTTCAGAAATGAGACATCAGCAATATTATATTCCTTCCAAATCCGGTTAACAAATCCTTTAAATACCTCTAGAGGAGGATTAGCCCCTAGAACACAGCAAATAACAGCTCTATCCCAGATCCCATAGTCTTCTATTATGTCCTCCTTTGTGAATTTTGCTACCTTCTGTCCCCCTATCACATCTCATTGTATGAATTTAAGATCTACCTGATAAGGTTGGTTCAGCTTAAGAAAATCTGCATATGATTTCTGTTGAATAACATCATTAAGAACCTCAGTCTGCTTCTCTTTCTCCTCATCTGGAGCAACATCCTTCTCCTCAGATTGGAGATTCTCTTTCGTTATCGGTTCATAGATCTGTTCCTTCCTTCCATCATCGCTTCTAGGCATTTTGTTTATTGGTGTATTGAAGGAGCTTCCGTTTCTAGATCCTTGTTTGGCCTGCGATTGATCAGCCGGCGAAGCATTCTTCCTAGGTCTTCCCTTCCTTCTCACCAAGCATTCTTCCTAGGTCTTCCCTTCCTATGATTTACTTGTTTGTACAGTAATAGGTAGTGTTTATACGAAAGGGCCGGGGATATGATAAAATGGTTTGATAATGACTTATCTTTTAAAGACAATGAAAGGGGTTTATGTGAATGACCATACTAGGATTAACTAAACACTTAATCGAAAAAGTAAAAACTTCAAAATTTATTTAACGACATACCCTGACCAGGTATTATCACGTTTTACCAAGTGGATCAAACCACATGTTATAAGGCCGTATCGTAGGTGTCCAAGTGGATGAGCCTACAAATAATCATACCACAACGTGCGCACGAGAACCCAATGATGACCCTGTGTGTCTAGGGTTCAGTTCTGATTACTGGACCCGAGGTCACGGGGAGGTATCCGAAGTAAAACTACGAATCGACTAGTGCGGTATTCCAGTCTAGTCACGTCTTAATATCTAATTATATAAGGTTAACCTAAAAGGAAAAAGTCTAGTATTTTCTAAATATCCCCAAGTAATTACTAAAGTGAGATTATTTTCTCCATGATTTAAGTATGTGACAAACATTGGAATTAAATAACTTAAAATGCCCTAAAATATATTTGCATGCTATATATGTCTATTGGTTATTTGCCACTCAGCTTATGTTGAGCGTGTACTGTTTAACTACACGCAGGTACTAGCAAGGGGAACAACTGCTGAGGAGAAAAGCTTGGACGTGGAGGCCGTGCTAAGAAAGGAAATTATATTTTTAAAAAATAATTAAATAAATTATTGAACATATTTAGGTTTGGGCTTGAACCCTAAGTTGTATTTACTTATGAACGTTACTACTCTTTTACTTACTCGCAAAAATCTTTAAACTCTTGATTATCGAAATGAGAATTTATTTTAAGTAAGAAATGTTTTACTAAGCAACCAGGTTTTACTAGCACTCTGGTCTAGATGACTTGGGTCATCTAGGGTAGGGTGTTACACGTGATCTTGGAGGCAGACGGAGGCAAGATTGTCGGAATGAATGTGATGATTTTGAATTATGTTTGTGATTATGATTTGTGAAGCTTCTGCAACATTGAAAACTCTATACTTTTATGAAAAAAATATTATTGTGATAAATAAAAGTGTTTGAAAAGTTTTAAATTTTTATGATTATGAAGTTAATACTTTAGTCCGAAAGGGGCTGCAGACTTGGATGGAATAAGGTTTTACAGGAATTTCAATGGTGAATGAAGACTGAAAATTGAAAGAGAAGAAAGAACTTCCACCCTCTCTCTTGACTCGATCGGCGAAGAAATGAGAAGATTGAAGTGGCTGGCGTATATTTAGTCATATAAATAAATATGCGGTTTTTTTCAGATCACCATGGACATAGATAAGCAAAATAAGTATTTTCTTACTAATAAAATAAGCATATATTTTTTAAATAAAAAAATCTAAATTTTTTTTTTATATCAGAAGATCCACAAAAATAATATGCACCCAAGGTGTACCATAGAAGTACTCTGGATTTCAATTAGAATTAGGATTGTAGAAATTTATTTCATTTTTCGTACTATTTAATATTATCATATTAAATTTTTAAATCCTTTTATTATTTACAAAACTGTAACATCTATTTTGCTCATAACCTTTTACACAAAATTCCAAAGTTCACAAATAATATACGGCTAGTCATCTTTTCATGAGATCTATCTAAAAACCTAAAATTTGTTACATAATATTATATGTACGTCATGTTGATATTTTATTCATTTACTTTATAATCTTTTCGGTCTTGAAACGGTAAACCGCTAACTTTCGTAACTCGGATTCACATACGGAATATACCATTAAACTCGAATCATCAAGACCTTCAATTTTAGTATAAATTTGATTATAACAAAATAAATTTAAAAATCACTTATTTTTATTTAAATCAAAATTAGAGTTACTGTTTATTCAAGATTCTTTTTTAATTATAGGGTATATTCCAGGGCATTACAAGAATTCTAGACCAATTTTTAGTTATATTTATAGTCTTTTTTATTATATTATCTGTTAGAATGCATCCCTTCACTAGAGGGGGTGAATAGTGGGATATGAAAATGTTGATAATTTTCTCAAAATAAAAAAATGTAGGAATACAGTAAAGTGCAAAATTTAAAAGTGTAAGGAAAGTGCACATCGATGTATACTGGTTCATCAAAACTTGTGGCTAATCTTTTCTCCCGAGAGACTCTCTTGAGTTACAGTACTTCCGTTAAGCTTATGTGTTTACAACACTTAATTACTCAAGAAAAAAAACTTCCTCAAAGAGTAGAATATGAATAAACTAATCTAGATCAAGATCCACACTCAATTCCTCAAAAAAGGCTCCTAAAAGCTATGTAAAATGTTTGTGGATGAAGCAAAAAAAATATTGAAATGTGTGTGGAATGAGTGTTGAAATAGACTTAAGCGACCTTTTTTTATATCCAAAAGCAAGATGCAACATATATTGGCTTGATTTGTAGAAATAAAATCAAAGTTGGTCTACTGAAAAATAGGCTAAACATCGATGTTCTAAAATTGAACATCACTGTTCTGGAGGTTGAATTTTAAAAAAGGAAAGATTTGGTCTTGAATGTACCATAACGGTCATATGGAAACATCAATGTTCATGGGTAAATATCAATGTTACAAAAACTCCCATTTTGAACACACTCGAGAGTCCGTCGTTAGGTGGGTGAGATCTTTGTCCCCTTCAGAATGACAGTTTTTAGATCCTTGTGTACATGTTTTTACCCGAACAGCCATTGGACCCAACAGGTACCACCTGGCTCTACTTACTATACTTATGGTATACCTTGCCACTAATCTATTCAAGTCATTTCCTAGAGTTCTTCTAGGCGATATAACCAACATTCATTAATCAATGCATGATGTAACATTCATAACTTCACAATGCATTTAACAAGATATCCAACATAATCAACCAGTGGCCTAACACTGGGTGTTAACACCCATGTTTACCGTCATGCAACACCCAAAGTCTCGGAATCAATCCTTGACAAAACACAAATAGGCAAACCCGGCATTAGGTACCAGACGGTACTTGTCACGGTACGGGGTACCATCCTCACAGTACATGGGTACCGGTCCTACGGTACTGTGGTACCGTCCGAATCAAATGAACCCTTTCAGTAGGACTTCCACGATAGCCGACTACTGACCAGGTGGTAGGGCCTACCGTCTGTCTGGGACCTAGGTACCGTACGGTCATAGCTACCGGTAGAGGCAAAAGAAACCAAAAGAGTGTGAAGGTATCACGGTACCGTCTCGGCGGTACCGCCTACAATCTGACGCAATAATTTCTACATTTACACCTGTTTCGTTTTTCAGCATCAGATCAACAACAATCACATAACAACAAACACCAATAGATTCATACTAACGTTCTAAACATTATCAAGCACATTAACTCGTCAATCATTGCCTAAGTCATTCATACTACCCTTTTTTGATTCAACAACAACAATCCCCGAATCCATAGTCAACAATCACACAGATAAGTCACATAGATCAACCACGATAATAATTATGAACAGAATTTCAAACCTAGATGCATAATCTAGTGTTAGATGTCCACATACTCACCTCAATTTTTTTCCCGTATCCTAACAACATGGTCGAAGAACCACCATCGGGCACGTCTCCGCTGTCCAAGGTTCTTGTCGACATGACCAATCGCGTACCACATTGCCGACCATGTCTAATCGCCATTGGCCGATGATGATGACGCCTAGGCAGCCGCTGCCTAACTGTCCTAGCTTCCGAGGGTCACCGGGATAAATAGAATTCGAGGACCGTCACCGTCACCATCGTTAATTTCCGACATTAGGACCACCTTGCTGCTCTTGGATACCACCGTCACCAGAAAAAGGTTGACGGAACTGCAGAGCCTGCCGCCAGAAGCTCTGCCCCGAGTTGCCGTTGCTGGTCGGCGCCCAATCGCCCTTGTCGCTGCTGAAGGTCATCGGAATCATGGGGTAGGGCTGCTGTCGTCGTCGGTTTGGGTTCACAGCCATCGCTCGATCGCGCTGGTCCTCCGCATCACCGGTAATGGAGCTCTGTGCACATAAGCGGGAAGCTATTGGGTCTCGCTGCTGCTTCACCAGAATGAGGAGGGAGTTTGCTGAATCGAGGAAGGAGAACAGGGAAGAGGGCTGTGTCTCGATTCCAAAGGAAAGAAAAACGAAGAAAATTCCTCTTATATACCTAGGGTTTTGTACTCGTTAATTTAAAATAATGTGTGTGAGTAAAAACATAGTTTTCGGGCCAACTTGCTCTGAATTGAGATCCGATCGCATTGTTGGATTCGATTTGTCGATCCCAACCCAATTATATAACCTTTATTATCATTCAATAAGGATTTTCAAGCTCCACCGGGTTCGTATTAATTATCTTGATTAATTAATACTGATCAGTCTTTTATTTTAACTCTTTACGGATATAATCAAATTAGTCTTGTCATATTGAGACGCTCTAAATCTCCAATATATCCTTTTATTCTTTAAGAGAATAGATTGTAGTAAATAAATTTATCTTATTTATTTAATTATCGATAAACTTGTAGACCAGTTTTCAGGGCGTTACATTCAGTTAGTAACATCACTGTTTAAAACCAAGACATGGATGTTTCGTATGAAACATTGCTGTTTGAAACCAAAACATGGATGTTTAGTTTTAAACATCGATGTTTGAGACTAAAACATGGATGTTTAGTTGGAAACATCATTGTTTGGGCTGGTTGGCAAGATTTTGAAAACAAAGTGCAAAAATCTTCCTAAAACCATTTTTTGAGTTTTTAAAAATAGTTTTAAAATTATTTTTAATGCAATAAATAAATATTTTATTTGAGCCAAGACTTAGAAAAATTAAATGTGGACATGTTACAATAAATTCCTAAGTCTCTTGTCTCGGCTTTAAAACGCCAACATCTTTCCTTGTGCTTTTTTTCTTCAAAGAACTCTTGCAATTGCCTTTATCTCTTTTCATTTGTTCCATGTTCACGGTGGTTTGTCAATATCAAAAACTACACAGAATAAACATTAGTATTTCTTTCTTCCATTATGTTCTTGAGAGTGTGTGGAGTGTTGTGGTGCTGTCTAGAGAGTGTGAGGTCCCCAGATTGAGCCACAATTCTTGTTGGAAGCTTCACCGAAATTTTCCCAAAACCTAAATGTTCGCGCGAGGTAAGCCCTTAGATATATCTAGTGATTAGAATGCTCATATAAATCATTTTTACTTTCATAAATAGTTGTTTGATTGAGTTTCATGTTTAACATGCTTGATGAACTAAAAATCAATAACCTTGATATTGTTGTTAAAACATCGAATTAATGATACCAAAATGATCTATGAATGTTGAAGAACAATTCTATATAGTTTAATTGAAGTTTGGTGGCTTAAAATGGTGTTTCGATATTATGGCTCGAGGTTGAAGATGATGTCGAGTTGTAGTCAGTCAAACACCGTCTTGGACGGTCGACCGTCCGAATGGCAGACTCGCGACCGTAACTGCTACCGGAACGGTTGACTGTGAGTAGGCAACAGTCGATCGTCTGAAACCCAGAATATGTTAAACGGTAACAGTCGACCGTCGCAACAAAAAATCTGATGTTGAAGCTATAAAATCTTATTTTTTTATACCATTCAACTATTAATCAATACGAATATGATTTCCAAATTAAATATGGTGTTTTGATAAACTCAAGTACCTTATTTGATGCATGATGGTAAGCTAGGGTGTTAACACTCGACGCTAGGCTGCTATTTGTTATTAAATATTATGATGATTGTTATTGATTATTGTTTATGATGATGGAACCTTAAATTAAAAATAATATCTTGATTTATATGATGATGATGAATGATTAAGGATATCTAGAAGAACTCTAAGATAGACCTCATATGACCAATCTAGTTAGGCCTTGAGGGTATGATGTCCGATGGCTCGGGTTAAAACGTATGTACGGGATTCATAAACCAAATTTGACTATCTATGTTTAATGAGGTGATCGAGAATAATGAACGTGCTGATCACCACAGTTATCTCATTATAGAATTTAGTGTTGATACTTGTGTGTTGAGCTGAAATTGCGAAGTAGGCCACCTAATAGTACTAGACAAATATGAATTGAACTCGAAAATCTGAATAACTGATATAACTGAAGATTTGGAACTTAAGGTCATGCACGTGTCAGCGTACACTTGATGGTCTCCAGGCTTAAAGTGTACGCATAGGAGTTGGTGACCATGGTAGGGGCTCCAACCCACTCAATTGGACACCTTCCATTGGGTTTACAAGCTTGACTTCTTGACACCTTCAGGAGTGTCCATGACTAGTGTGTTTAGTTAGACTTTAGGAGAATATGTTGAACATCGTAACAATACACAAGGATCTAAAACGAATGGACATACGAACGAACGAACGACTGATTATACTATTTGGTAATTGTAATTGCTGATTCTTCTGATATTGTATGATTATATGTTAATGGGTGTTAGTCTATGAGTTAGTTCTAATGTTAGATACTTCCACACTCAATTGTTTTTACAAGTAGGACTCAAGGGTTGGATGAGGAGCACCTTGGAGGACAGTGAGGTGTGACGCTGGTGGATGACCCAAAGTTGATGGATTTAATTTAATTATATTTTATTGAACTTGTTTGTTGGCCTTGAATGCCATACCCCATAACCAATTTGATGTGCCAAATAAGTCTTCCATTTGTACTAACGTTTTTTGCACGAAGAAACCAAACGCCAAACCTCTTCTAACTTGATTAGCATCACCGAGATGTACTCCTAGGGGCTTAGAAACATTCGTGTAAAGGTAGAGATATAATTGATGATGTACTTATGCTTTTCCACTAAAAATATTATTTCTAAAATGTCAAACATATTTTTTGTTGGGGCTATTTTGAAAAAGGTACACAAAAATAAGGTTTTGGAAAAATATCTCAGGTCTCACGATACCTAGATATTGTTCACACGGTACCCACGTACCGCCGGTAGCTAGCGGACCAAAAGGAGCTACCGTTTGAACCTAGGTTCCACCAGAGCCACTGAAGATGTTAAAGGTACACACGGTACCCCTGGCGGTAGGCCGTACTGTGTTCACGGTACCTTGGTATCGGACGGTACCCCCCTACCGTGAAGGGTACCGTGACCGTTACAGTTCTTGTAGCTGATTTTCAATTCAAATTTAAATTACCCTAAATCACTCCCCAATTGTCCTAAATGTACGAACTCAATTTTAATCCTTCCAACTCCTATATAAACTTCCTCTAAGTCTCATTTTTCAAAGAACAACATCCCTGCTCAATCTAAAGCCTATTTCTATATTCTGGAGTGTTCTTCAAGATTTGTTCTTATTTTTCTTACTTTTTTCTGGAATCAGAAGCCTGAGGGCTAGCGATCATTAATCTTGTTAATGCAAGGAAAAGTGCTGTGATCATTGAATTAGAAGCTACAATAAGGGATCGGGTTAACAGAGTTGCAGGTGAAGCTGAGGCTGTTATTGCCCATGCCCGAGCTATATCAGCAAGAATTTCTTTAGTTTGTGAAGCTCTCAAGGAATAGGGTGGTGCAGAGGTTGCAAGTCTGAGAGTTGGTGAGAGGTATGTGCAGACATTTAGCGACACGACAAAGGAGATGAAGCGAGTGAAGAGCAGCTTTCACCCTGAGAAGTAGCAATCACAAAGATAAAGTGCATACCTGCAGACCGTTTGGCGAATGATATATGGCAGTGTTGTTTCTTTTATGTAGTGGTAAAACTCTTTTGAACTGGGAGAGATCTTACATGTTAATTTTTCTATTGTATACTACATACTTTCCTTACTCCATTATCACCTTCAATCTCATTTTTTGAATGGATGGCACAATACCGAGGCCTTGGTTAAAAAATACTAAACTATTGAAATCCTTGTCATAAACCACATGACAATAAATCACTATAAAACCCAAGAAATGCATGATGATACCGACCTTCAAAAACCACACTCTGTGAACCTCGTGACTAGATCACAATGATAAAAAACCTTGACTTGAACAATATTTTACCTCTCTCTGTAAACCAGGAAACGATCTACGCGATTATTTCATCTTTGAATATAATTATTGATGACCGACAAACTCTGTTCTGACCTTAGCGAGGAAAGATTTTCGCAAAAATCAAAAGAAGAAATGATGTCATAAAGACCATCTAAACGAAATTGAACCATTCGAGCCAAACATTCTAAACTAAACCTATTTGCTGAAATCTTCAAAAGAATTTTGATGAACTCAAAAGGACGACAATGATGGATAAAGATTTCTTGCCCTATGTCACATCAAGAAGTCTTGAATTGAATCACGTACTAAAGATATTCTCTTCTCCATCAAAACGAGATCAACAATAGCATTACAATTGAACCTTAAATTTTCATTAACATACATTGGTATACCAATCGATGAAAGAAATTCGAATACGAGGAAACGAATACGAGACGCCACTTAAACGTCATCACCTATGAATATAAATTGATACAGAGACCCATTGACAATAATCAAAACTATCACGAGGATGAGCAAAGAAAATGGTTTGACGTAAGATCAATAATGACAGACTAATGTACAACCAATCGACGAGATTTCCTTAAAAAATGGTGACAAGTCCCACATTCTGAAAATCCTGAACCACTAAAAGTCATTTGATGCTACTTATGAGTCATTACTGAACTGTATGAATGATGTGAAGATTTCTTGAGTAATTTGGAAGGTTACACTATGATGTGTGAATTGGAGCAACCTCCAAATCTCCAAACTATACCTCTCGTAAACTTGATAACTCAAAAACAAAAATTCCATTGAAGAAGTTTCAATCAAAGAAAGAATATCGTTAACCAATATCGTGCAATTGAGGTTTGTAGATGAACGAAGTTATGTGCAACCATGTCAAGTATGCTCTAAAACAAAAGGAACCATAGTTGTTGACACTAACTCTAAATGAAACCTGCAAGATGATGATTGGATACTTTACTTCATAAATACTGTTAATCTCTTGAAGATAAAACGAGTTTGACACAGACAACTTGAGAATACATAACCGTGGGGACTAAAATTTAACTTTGATTTAACTTGATGAACGGGACACTGTCATGTGTCATGACTAACGTGAATACAAAAAAGATTTTGATCATTGAGTCTTAGAAGAATTGTGATGATGAAATTCTTTTAAGGAGGAAAGAAATGTAGCGCCCCAAAACACACCCTAAAAGTATTATTAAATTATTATTCAATTCGACAAATTTTTTGCTGAATAAAATAATTTATTTCTGGATAAATCTGATAGAGATAAATCCAATATGTAGATTGAATGTTTTTGTTCTTGATTAGAGACTAGAGTACAGACCTAAACTAAGATTTGTATGATTGATGTGAATTCTTAAATGGTTTACTGAAATAAATCATTAGATTAAATTATATAAATTGAATATGAGAATCTTTTGAATAAAAGATTAATTAAATGAATTTTGACTCTTCTAAAGTCAAATATCCAAAAATATGATGTCAGAAAAAGTATTTCAAATAAATATGAAAAACATATATTTACATAGGGTATGAGTGTCTGATTACAATGGTACAATCAGATTTTATTTCGGAGAAATTTGGACCAAAAAGTGTACCCGATTGGGACCACATTAGTTTTAATCAGGGAAGACATATACAAACAGCACCTCCTACTCCACTAGCCGAAATTGCCAATGTGAATTAGTTAGCCTTGGCTTCTTCTCCTTTTATTCTCATATATAAGGATGCCACAACTCTCTCCATTTCTCACTAAATCATTAAATTTTTTCTTCCATTGTGTTCTTGAGAGTGTGAGGAGTGAGGTCTCCAGAGTGAGCCACAATCCTTGCCGGAAGTTTCACCAAATTTTCCCAAAACCTCAATTTTTGACCAAGGTAAGCCCTTAGATATATATAGTGATTAGAAGGTTCATATAGATCGTTCATATGTTCATAAATGACCATTCAGTTGAGTTTCGTGTTTGACATGCTTGATGAACTAAGAATCATAAACCTTGTAATTATTGTTAAATTTCAAATTAATGATACCAAAATGATTTATAAACGTTGGAGAACATTTCTATATACTCTCTCCGTTCGGGAAAAACTTTCCATTTGGACTTTTTCTCATTTTTTAGATGGTTGACTTATGAGGTGAAATGGCAAAAATGCCCTTACTAAAAAAACTGATAAAGGAAAGAGTGTGATGACCGAATGGAAAGCTTCAATAATGAAAATCACTGTTTACATCATGGGGGAGGGGATATGGATTCCATACATCACATCAAGTTTTACGAAAGTAATCATTGAACAAAAATTTTACATTTCCCTCTTCCTTTTTTAGCTACCCGCCCAAAAAAAGAGAAAATTTCATTCAAATAAATTCCAGCAGCATTTAAAGCTCCCTGGACTTTCCCTTTTTGGCATGCTTCTCCTTCATTCACCTTTCTTCTTCTTCAGGTTCCTTTCTTTCTTCTTTTTCCTTTTCTTGTCCACACTTCCTGGACCCCTGTACAGAGAAGAATAATGTTCATATAAATACGAAAAAATTGGATAACGCAACCTGACAGCGTATCAGTGATGCGCTACTAACACATTCTAAGCAAAAATCAGACGGTTCATACTCAGCTCAGAGAGGGCAGATCAACAACCTCGCTGCACAATTTAATGTTTATAGAAAAACAGTGAGTAGTTTAATTGAAGTTTGGTGGCTTAAAATGGAGTTTTTAAAATATGGCTCGAGGTTTTAAGATGATGTCGAGTTATAGACGATCGACCATCCAAACGGAAAACTCACGGCTGTAACTGATACCGAAACGGTCGACCGTGAGTAGGCAACGGTCGACCGTCCGAAACCTTGAATATGTTAAACGGTACGGTAAACGATTTGACGGTAACGGACGACCGTCCCGAATATTTTCCAGCAACAAAATTTAGATTTTGAAGTTATAAAATCCTATTTTTATACCATTCAATTATTAATCAATACAAAAATGATTTCCAAATTAAATATTGTGTTTTGATAAACTCAAGAACCTTGTTTGGTGCATGACAGTAAGCTAGGGTGTTAATATTCGACGACTTTCCACCCCTAGTTTGAGGGAGAACCTCTACTTGTGTGAAGAACAGTAGGGTCATCGCCACTTGTTTCCAATTGTGAAATCACCAATTTTTGGCAGAGGAGCGGAAAACAAAAAGAAAAAAATGGGGGCTGATTTTTTTGGCAGTGTGAAAGAAAATTAAAAAAAGAGGAAGGGGGCAGTGGGCCATTTGTTCAGATTGCTAGCTCATCTTTTTTTTTCTTTTAGGCTTGGTTTTGGGTTTGACTAGATTGATTGGATATGGATTTGGTTTGGATTGATTTAGTTGGTGTGGTTGGCCTAATTTTCATAAGAAATTACCAAGATCTGAAATCAGTTGTATCAGGTATCTCGTCAAGTCTTTCAAGATGGCCGAAGATGGGAAGTTTCGAATTGAGAAATTTGATGGTACAGATTTTAGTTGGTGGAAGATGCAAGTTGAAGATTTGGATGTGGTTTTAGGTAACAAGCCAGAGAGGCATCGAATGCAGATTGGGCAAGTTTGGATAAAAAAGCTATGTTCATGATCCGTCTCTCATTGACCAAAATGTTGTGTTTAAGATTTTGAAGGAGAAGACAGTGAAGGGAATTATGGAAGCATTGTTTAACATGTACGAGAAGCCATTTGCAGCAAACAAGGTTTTTCTGATTAGAGAGCTGGTGAACACAAGAATGAAAGAAGGCACTTCAGTTACCGAGCATACCAATAAGTTGAATTCAATCTTACCTAGACTTGCATTAGTGAAGATTAAGTTTGATGAAGAACTTCAAGCTTTGCTACTACTATCATCTTTACCGGATAGTTGGTCCGGAACGGTTACAGTGCTTACTGGTTCGGTGTGACCCGAGTGATTCACTTTCAATTAGATTTCTGATCTCGTTCTTGGCGAAGACGTCAGAAGAAAGAGTTGTGGGAGTCATTTGGTGAATTGTTAAATGCTGGCAGAGGTAGTGGGAGTAGGAACAGACAAAGGAGTCCGTCGAAGACTCGTGACAGCTCAAGTGTAACGTGCTGGAAGTGCAAGGAGGTGGGGAATTTTAGGAATCAATGCCTGAATGATAAGAAAGTGAACATTGCTAAATGCTCCACAATAAGGATTCCTGGGTCACGGATTCTAGTGCTTCATTTAATGCTACCCACAGCAGTGAAGCATTAGAGAATATGGTTATTGGGGAATTTGCAAAGGTACAACTAGTGAACGACAGAGCTCTTGATGTTACGAGCATGGGTGACATAGTGCTGAAGACCCTAGTTGGTTTCAGGACTTTGAAGGATGTCAGAGTGGTTTCAGCCTTGAAGATAACTTTGATTTTTTTCAGGAAGTTAGACGAAGAAGGACATGAGATGAAGTTCGGAGACGGGCAGTAGAAGGTCGTGAAGGGAAATCTTGTCATGGCCCGCGGAAAGAAGAGTGGTTCGTTGTACATGGTTAGATTACCGTCTGAGGGAGTGATCGTCCCGGTTCAGAAGATAAACAAAGTACAGTTCATAGAGTCTCGTGGGCAGAAGAAGGTTGTCTATGCAACAAAGAAACCCAGAGCCACAGGTAAGACTCAGGATGAACAAAAGCGGAAAGGTTCAAGGAGGCCAGTTAGAGGTATTTGTGGCAGTGGGAGCTCATATGATGCTTTAGCCAAGGTTTCTAAAAGGCAATGGGTCAGGAGAACCAGTATTCTAGTAATTGGAACATCTCCATATAATTTCTTTCTAAGTGTGGAGAGTGTTTGTTTTCAGGATGTTCTCGGATCTAGCAGCGTGCATTTGCAGTGGGAGATGGTAGGGACTGAGGATGAGTCAGGAGCAGATTCAGCCGTGACTGATGTGTTGGAGCTCGAGAGAGCTTCAACGAGGCCTTCAGTTTTCTGATGAGAGGGCCGCTGCAGCAGGAGAGCTGAGGAAGATTGTTAGATATAAAAGGAATTGTGGCAAATGGCAGTTGATGATTATCAACCCTCCAAGTGGGAGAATGTTAGGTTTGTGGGGGCTAGATACATTTGGGCCTAACTTGGGTCGACCCTTATTATTATTACTATTATTATTATTATTATTATTATTATTATTATTATTATTATTATTATTATTATTATTATTATTATTATTATTATTATTATTATTATTATTATTATTATTATTAGCTCCTCTTTTTTTGGGAACAAGCTTCATATCCCTAGGCTTCTCCTTATATATTGAGCTCTTGTACCTGTAACTTGGGAGACATCACAAGGGAATAAAATTCCTCCTCTTGGAGCCGTGGATTAGAGAAACTGAACCACGTTAAATTCTTGTGTGTCGTTTGTGTTCCGTTCACTCTCGTTTCTCATAGATATTTGTGCATATTGTGTGTTTAGTTCTGAACAGGAGTAGCTAACCCTAAGCTTGTGGAGAAGTAGCCAACCTTAAGCTTGTAGAGAAGCATTCGACCATAAACCTTAGAGAAATATTCAACTCCTACCTTAAGTCCTCATTAACATCAAGTCTAGTTTTTGTCCTGTCAACCGAGATCCATTCTAATACATGGACTCCATTTAGGGGCTAAGCTTATGAGTTTACTACCAGAAAAAGTCATAGTCAAGCTCGGTGACGGCAAGGGAGATAGGCTAGCTCCGATGAAGGTACTCTAGTCAGCCCCTATCTTTCAGGGACAATGATAGACAATAACCACCTGCATGTGTACTAGGAAGCGGCTACGAATAGCTCTTGAAATTGTTCTAGACATGTTATGATTAACATCATTTTCGGTAGGTGTGGGCGTGGGTGTTGTTGCCTAATATGGCAAGGGGTTTCCTCCGTTGGTCAAATCTTTTTTACTCCCACGGACTTCTCCTTCCAATATATAGTAAAATAGGCATATAGTATTTAGGAGTTTGTACATATTTTTGTTTTGTTCCAAAAATGTGAATTCAATGGAAACTTTTATTCGTTTATGGGAGGGGTTTTCTTGTTTGTGTTCAACCCTCTCAATAAGAGCGCCACTTGATGGGTTGTAAGGATGAAGGTAGTATAAAGAGTACAGAGAGAAAGCTCAATATATTATGTTTGAATACTCAAAATCTATTCCAATCCCCCTCCATGTTGAATGAGAAGGTCTATTTATAAAATACAGGTAATACACCGAAGCCCAAAAAACTAGATCACAACACATGGGTTCATTAATTATATTTGTTCTAAGCTATGACACATCCCTTTCTCATCAGAGTCGGGGACTGTTCCCATTGTAGGCGTAGGTTCGTTGTTCTTGAGGGGTTGACCACGAGGTGGGGCCTATGATGGCCTTTGATGTAATCCAAGAATATGAGTGGATGGGTGATGAGCTCGTCACTTGGCCGACCATAACAAACTCTCTCCATGGTGTGCTAATAGACGACCATGCCAAATTCGCGTCCTAGGTATGCTTATGGCCCAGCTCGACCCATGGCATGCTCATTGCCTAGCTCGAACCTTCTTCTTTAAGGCTGTATGATGTCAATGAGCTAGACTACAGAGGGTAATGAGGTCGAGCTTAGTGTGAGAGGTCAAGCATGAACCTTCTCTCTTGTACAATTATTATCAAATTGTATCATGATATCGGAGAAAGGGTTTCTCTCTCCAAAAAATAGTGTGCGTTCTTAACAGCCGCCACCGACCCCGACGAGCATGCCTAACAGTCACTATCTTTTGCCATTCTCTTTCTCTCCAAAATTTTCTTAGCATGCCTAACAACCATCGTGTGCATGATCGAAGAATCAAAAAAGCTGCATTTGATTGTGTTTCTTCTAGAGTTCAAGAGCATAGAATGCGATAGAGAAGCAGATAATAGCTCACACAGATAAAAAAGAAACTCCATGTCCTCGCTCCAATCACCAACGCTCTCCCAAGACAAAACATTACGAGCGTACGATCAAGCTCATTTTTCAGGCAATGTAGGTCTTCCTCTCTATTTATTATACTCCCTCCGTCCCAGTTGAAACTTCCCGTTTTGACTTGGCACGGGTTTTAATGTAAAGTAAAAAAGGTATTGACTTTCCTCTTTTGCCCTTCAACTACCCTCTCCTTTATACTCTTTTTTTTTTCAAAACCCACCACCCTCCTCTCCAAAGTGTATGTGCATTAGTGCATCACCTCCATCGTACCATTGTTCTTCTTCGTTCCCTCCCCTCCTTCAACCATAATTTAATCTTACAAATTAAAAGACAAATCTAGATTTCAAATCTACAAAATTGAAGAAATTAAAAATCAATCTAAGAAATTAAGAAATTTTAAATCAAATCTAAGAAATTGAAGAAATTAAAAATCAAATCTATGAAATTAAAGAAGAAGAAAAAAAGAAGAAAGAGGAGGAGAATGGAAGACAGGGGAGATCTGATGATAGAAAAAAAGGAGAAGAGTGGGTGGTGGTCAAAGGAAGAAAAAAAAGAAGACAGGGTGGGGGGGAGGTCGAACGGAGAAGAAGAAAATGAGGGGAGAGAGAAAGAAGGGTGGGGGTTGGTGAAGAAGAAGAAAAAAAGAAGAGAGTGGGGGATGGGGTCTAACGAAGGGACGAAAAAGAAGGGGGTGGGGAGAGAGAAAAAGAAAGGGTAAAATGGTAAGTGTAAGTGTTTTTTAATTCCATTTTTGGAAATGAGAAGAATCAAATGGGACGGCCCGAAAAGGAAAGTGAGAAGAAAGATATGGGACATAGGGAGTAGTATATTTGAAAATAATTTGTATACATTATGAATCATGTATTTATAGTTAATTTCCTAGTAAAGTGTATTCACATAAATAGTGTTGATATTTGGTTACACCATAAGAGGGAGGTGAATTAGGTTGTTTGAAAGTTTTTCAAAAACAAAAACTTAAGCGGAAGTAAGAATGGAAAAAGAGCGAGGAAAATAATAAGAAGAAAAAAGTTCCAACACAAGGATTTTATACTGGTAAGAGAACTCCCTACTCCAGTACTGTGAGGCTCCTGTTAGAATAAAAGACCAACGCTAGAGGGGGGTGAATAGCGTTTGATCGTAGAAATCGCAGGAATTACAAATGTAAAGGACAAGTAAAGAGAAGAGTAAGAGGCACACCGAATTTACCCTGGTTTACCACAACTTGTGGCTAATCCAGCCTCCTGACAGAATCTCTCGAGCTACACTACTATCTCGTTAACCTTAACGGTGCTTAACAAACCCTTACAACTTGAGAATTCGAGTCACATGAACCTCAACGAATCCTTCGAAGGAAACAGCCCTTCCTTCGAATGAAACGAAGAAATACTTTCTCTCAATGTGTCTTAGAACACTAATACACTCAAAAACGAGACTCTCTTTAAGAGTAGATATTTAGTAAACTGTTAGAATAATAGACCAACGCTAGAGGGGGGGTGAATAGCGTTTGATCAAGAAATCGCAGGAATAAAAATGAATATGCGAGAAGTAAAGAGAAAAGAACGAGGCACACCGATTTTACCCTGGTTCACCACAACTTGTGGCTAGTCCAGCCTCCCGAGAGACTCTCTCGAGCTACACTACTATCTCGTTAAGCTTAACGGTGCTTAACAAACCCGTACAACTTGAGAATTCGAGTCACACGAACCTCAACGAACCTTCGAAGGAAGGGTTGTTTCCTTCGAACAACAAGAGAAATACCTTCTCTTGTCAAGTGTCTAAGAACACTAAAAACACTCAAGAACAATACTCTCTTTTAGAGTGGATAATGAGTAAACTAAGAACGCTCAAGAACACAACACAGGCTTCACAAAAATGGCTCTCAAAAGCTATGAAAAATTGAAGAATGATTTGCAATGAAAGAGTAGGAGTTGTGAAGTAATGTG